ACAGACATCGATTTAGATTACATCAAAGTATCGAAAGGACTCTCTGACACCTACGCGGCTGAGACTAGAAAGAAGACGGACTCTGACATCTGCTAGTCTAGGGGAAATCATGCTGCATGGACCCTTTTAAAAATCAGAATCGCTTTGAGTCTAGGAATTTTGGGGCACTGCACGAGCTCAGGGCTGCGCAGAAACTCCCAGACTGCAGGCCCCCCTGCTTCCGAGATGTTGCTGCTCGTGATGCTGCACCGGCGACAACCAGCAAAACCATATGAGTTACATCCTTCCTGTAGTCTTCGCCCCTAGTTGCCATAGCATGCTCTTATAACATTATCTTTGGCATCCCTAGGTTTGTCGGAGCAGCTTACCCCTCCGAGCCGGAAACGTGTGCATACAAATACCGTTTCCGATGCGCATGCAGCTGAACCCTGCAAGAAATCGCACAATACGTGCAGCAAGGCAGCAATGCAAGGACAATTCTTCATGATCCCTGGTTACGAGATCTTTCTGCGAGCTTTCGGCGCTGCATTCGGATTGAAGGTCGAGCCGCAAAGGGTATCATTGCAATCACACTCCAGGATTTGCAGATGACCTGAGACCCAGGCGTCGAACTCAACCTTCTGGGAACCTTCACGGCATTCTGAACTTCGTCTGGTGATCGGACATCTGCAACCAGCAACTAGGTCACGTCGCGGCTGTGTTCAGGAATTACAGTCAACAGCTGATCTTGCACAGGACTGCTGTCGCTGGCACGGCCCCAGCCCCATGTCACAACAGAGCCATCAGCCCGAATGGCAGCAAAGGCATACTGGGACGCTTGAATTTGTTGCACCTGCTGCAAGCGATCTTGTACAGTGTTGCTGTTGCCAACAGATCGTGCGTCGCCCCAGGTCACCACAGAACCATCAAATCGAATCGCAGCAAAAGCAAACGAACAAGCTTGCACATGCTGCACGTCGTACAGCCGATCCTGCACGGAGCAGCCATTGCCACCGTAGCGAGCATCGCCCCAACACACCACAGATCCATCTGCCCGAATCGCAGCAAAAGCTCGGCGAGAAGCTTGGACGTGCTGTACATTGTGCAGCAGATCCTGCACAGCGCTGCTGTCACCGCCAAAGTCAGCATGGCCCCAGGCCACCACAGACCCGTTAGCGCTTATAGCAGCAAAAGCAAACTCAGAAGCCTGTATTTGCTTTATGTTCCGTAGCCGATCCTGAACGGCACTGCTGTCGCCGCCACATGTAGGATGTCCCCATGTCACGACCGATCCATCAGCCCGGATCGCAGCAAAGGCTCTTAACGATGCTTGGATCTGTTGCACATTCTGCAGAAGATCTTGAACCGCACTGCTGTCGCCACCCTCGTCCGCGTCGCCCCAAGCCACCACTGAATCATCAGCCAAGATTGCGGCAAAAGCAGTTTGAGAAGCTTTGACATGCTTCACGTTCTGCAGCTGAGCTTGGGCTAAACTGCAGTCGCCCCCAAATGAACCATGGCCCCAAGTCACTACAGAACCGTCAGCTCGGATCGCAGCAAAAGCAAACTCGGAAGATTGAATCTGCTGCACATTCTGCAGCCGATCCTGCACAGCGCTGCTGTCGCCACCAAAGTCAGCCTGGCCCCAGGTGACCACGGAACCATCAGCCCGGATTGCAGCAAAAGCTGAACCAGAAGCTTGGACCTGCTGCACATCTCGCAGAGAATCCTGCACGCTACTGCTGTCGCCACCAGACTCAGCATCGCCCCAGGTCACTACGGAACCATCAGCTCGAATCGCCGCAAAAGCATGCTGAGAAGCCTGGATATGGTGCACGTCCTGCAGCCGAGCCTGCAGTGCGTTGCTGTCGCAAGCAGAGGAAGAACTACCCCAAGTTGCCACGGAACCATCACCCAAGAGTGCAGCGCAAGTTTCAGACGAAAGGTGAGTTGCGACCGCAACATGTCCTACATGCAGAGTGAGCTCATCGCGGTCTTGCAGCTGCACCTCTCTCACAGTTGCTGAACCGTCCAGCATCTCCCCTGAGGAGGTCAATAGCCTCCCCTTGCCAACTCCCAGTGCGCCTTGGGCACTCTTCATCAAATCACGAACAGTTTCGTCTGCTTCCGTTTGCAAAGATACCGTCTTCCCGCTTATCAGATGCACATCAACTTGGATGGGCATAGCTATGCCTGATGTCCTGCTGCCTCAAGGCTCCTCGATACTCTCCAAATCCATGGCTCAGGTAGCCCTTGATCCACTTACAGACATAGAGTCGGCATGCGGCTTATAAGAGAGCCAAAGCTTCATGCTGCCGAACCTGGGACTTATTGACTCGTACATAGAGATAGGTAGTCCAAGGATTCAAGCAGGCTTTACAATCACATGCGAAACATGCCACAAGGTTCACTAGACTGAAGCTAAGACAGTCAGAATGCCTCTGGCTTGCATCAACAGAATGTCCAAGGAACTCACCAGTACAAGAACCTCGAACATGCTGATAGCGTCGCAAAATCCATTATGCTATCGATCGGTTCGGCTCACCGAAAGCACCGCTGAAGTTTTTCTCATCTCAAGTCCGATGCGCGAAGGAATCTTCAGTCTACTGCAGGTGAGACCGGAAAGGCCGAAACCTAGAACCGAACATAGGGGCCTTAATAATTCGAACAGGGTTTTGGGATACATTATGCTATAAACATATTAAGGACAGACCCTCAAATAGTATAGACAATTATAAAAGCCCTTCTTAGAGTCCAAGACGCCATGACTGAACAAGTGCACATGTCTTTACGACTCTTTCGCAGTCCTGCACTTTTCACTATAACCACTAGACTCACTAGACTCTTTAGACTATGTACATGTTAAGGAACCCCCAAAATAGTATAATGATAGTCCAGAGGATGCTTAAATGAAAACTTAAGGACCAAAATCTTCGCTATGCTGCCTTGAGGCTGCCACTTCGTAAGTTAAGAAGAACCTCAGTCATCTCCAGCCCGGAAAATCTCGTATCATCAGGCCTGAACCTCGACGCCATGCTAAGTCCCATGGCTTTACCGACTCTTCAAGCGGCCTAAACCCTGAACGCTGAGATGCTCCTGGCCGATGCGCGCCCCCAGGCTACTCACTGTTTCTGGGGACCTCAGAGAGACTTCTACGCTTCCACGGACTTTCGGATTTCGGTGTTGCTTTTGCCTGGCAGTTTGCTCCGCTGCTTTAGGGCTTAGGGATATATATATATATATATATATATATATATATATATGTATATATATATATATATATACACACGTATATATACACAAACACACACACATATATATATATATATATATATATGTATATATATATATATATATATATATACATATACACATGTATTGGTTGATCGTGTATATAGTATTTTGAATATAAACACGTGTATATGTATATATATATATATATATATATGTATATAGACAGATAGATTGATAGATAGATATATAGGTGGTATGGGGCTTCCGATTTCAGGGCCCTGCGCTTTGATGATGGTTGCGGCTAGAGTGTCGACGGCTCGATTCAAGCCAGGCCGAATAAGCTTGAATGGAGTTTGTCCTTCCAGACTCCAAGTTTGTGCAGGGTCATAAAGAGTATACTGCTGCTGCTGCTGCTGCTCCTACTACTACTACTACTAACTACTACTACTGCTACTGCTACTGCTACTTCTGCTACTACTACTACTACTACTACTACTACTACTACTACTACTACTCCTACTCCTACTCCTACTACTACTACTACTACTACTACTACTACTACTACTACTACTACTACTACTACTACTACTACTACTACTACTCCTGCTACTACTACTACTACTACTACTACTACGACGACGACGACTACCACTACTACTACGACTACGACTACTACTACAAGATGAAACGACGAATCTAGCTAAAGCATCACATCTGCTTGGGACGCTGATGGGCCTAACACCGACGGATACAGCGTCCGTCATACCTCTGTCAGCATGAACCATTGGCAATCATAACTGGTGCTTTTCTCGGTCTTAGGTTCATCTACAAAAGACTTCGAAGAATGCACGCATACATCTTCCATACCCACTGAGCACGCTCTGAGTCTTGAGGAGAAGCTTTTCGTCAGATTGCTTGAGATTTGAGTGAGGCGTAGTGGCCCGAAACGCAGTCGGCCCAAATTGTTCAAAAAGGGACGCCGGCATGCGGAGGCTGAGGGTTAACACAGCTGAGCGATTAACACGAAGGCGGATTGGATACCTGCGCAAGGCTGTTGCAAAGCAGTTCCCATTGCCAGGTCCATCTTCGAAACCCGAGCTGCCAGCACCAGAGTTGGGGCACTTGGCCGTCTCTGCTCTGAGCACACTGTTGCGCAATTTGCGTCAGGGGCTGGGGTTCTGTTGAGGGCGAGCAGTACTCGCCCGAAAAGCATTCGGCCGAATTAGCTCAAAAATAAACACTGGCATGCGGAGTAACTGCAGGACAGTAGGAGCAACAAGCTGCACCCTCTCTGAGCAGCTACATACCCACAGAAGGCTGTTCCCTAGCAGTCGCCCATTGCCAGGTCTATCTTTGAAATTAGTGCCGTCCGCACTCAAGTTATCGGGCCGAATAATTTGGGTCCAAGGCCAAGCATGACCAAATCAAATTGAAAGGCAAACTGTACAGTCCAATGTGCTATACAAGCGTGCGCCTGGCAACCTCTTTAGATTTCATCGCAAAGACAGCTGGCATCCTGTCCCAGATGCGTGTTGTGTTCGCGCACGTTTGTTTTGAAGGCGCTACTGTCAGACGTGAAGCAGCACAAGTGTCGTGCATCTTCGCTACCTCATGAGTAGCTTCAGAGGAGCACCTGGCACCGGAAACGATCTGAAGCGAAACTTCAACCCTATGCTTCTTCAATCCTAGCCCGGGTTAATCTACCCAAATCTGCTTTCGACACAACACTTGGGCCCCACTCCGCCGGTTGCATCCCCCGAGTCAATCACCGCCGGCCTCTACACCATTCAAGCCAACATGGTTAGAGTGAGAGTGGCCATGCAGCTCACTCCGATGAAGGCGGCATGGTGCGAGGCCGATGTTATGGCGTCACCCGCGGTGTTTGCTTGTGTAGTGCTGGTTCCTCCGCTTCCGGCTCCGCTGGTGGTAGTGCTGGTTGTTGTGGTGGTCGTTGTCGTCGTTGTCGTCGTGCTCGTCGGGAAACCCTTGTACTGAAGCTTACCAGCACCCTCCATCACCATCTTCGTGCCATCGGATGAGATCGCAATGAACTTGGCATTGTCCTTGGCTGTGCTAGTTTCACTCTCCTTCTCAGAAAGGCAAATTCCCGCTCAAATCTGTCTCATGAAACAGTCAGGCGTCCGGACTTGTCGCATCCTCCGCCCAGGTGGTGCCGGAATCAGAGCTGGTCCAAAGCTTAGAAGACATCTTGGTTGCGCCCATCACTGAGCCATCCGCGGACATGGCCACGCTTTCCCAAACACCAGAATCAGACACGACCTCTGAAAGAAAGAAGTACGTTTCAGGATGGTCTTCGGGTTGGGCATGCCGGGGTCTCTGTTCTGATTCCGTATGATCAGACTTACAGAAATGCCCTCAAGATACCGAAATCACCAGAGAAAAAAAAGGTAGTGTAGGCTTTGAGCGCTTAGGAACCTGAGTCCAAGTTGAGCCAGTGTTAGTGCTGAGCCAAATGCCACCGTTTCCATGGCCAACGGCTGCCATAATCGTGCCGTTTGACGACATGGCAATGGCATGTAGGCTCGTGGATTCGCTCGGCGTGTTGGTTGCCCAATTGGCACCTCGGGCTGTTGAAAGCATCTAGCTCCCTCCGCGCCATTTTTTGGGGCTTAGCAACACCCCCTGAACATGTCATACCTTCAGCCACCAGGTAGCCAGCCCTTACTCAACGAGGAGCCCGCCTCCGTCAGTGCTCACACGAACTCCTGCGTTGCTTTGCGAGGTCACAGCTGCAATCACATTGCCGTCGTCCGACATGGCGATGCCCGTCATTGGGGTGGTCGAGATTTGATTCCACGTCGCACCAAAGTCGGTGGTTCGAAAGCTACCCTGGGTCCAGGTCTGCGCGTCCACGTCACTGGTGTCACCCGCTGAGACCTGGTCGCAACTGCGTGATATGTGGCGCTCTTGTGGTGTGCCTTAAGATGGTGGCGGGGTGCCACAGGCATGGTTGACCGAGTGTGTTTGTCCTACTGGGAAAGGAGACTACTGCCTTGCAGACATTGGTTTTTGAAAAGAAGACGAAACCACGCTAAAGAAGAACATTGAACGTACCATTTCGGGAAAGTCACAATGATGTTGCCATCCGGCGACATTGCCAGGTCACGAAGCTTCTGAGATGTTGAGCTTGGGAATTGTGCATCAGCCAAACCCGTTTGAAAGGTTGGACCGCCATCGCTCTTCCACATGTTCACTTCAATTCCACCGGCAACAAGTTTGGATCCATCAGCTGAAAGGGCAATGCCTTCCTTGGACGTGCTGCTCGTGGCTTTCGGTTAATCTGGTTCAAAAGTTTGTTGACGAGTCAATGAATATACACTGCACGGTGGCAGTCAATTTTTCTCTGAGCATTTCTGCATTGTCCCTCCCTCCCTCCCTCGCTTCCTCCTCGCCTCCCTGGCAACCTGCCTCTCTCTCGCTCTCTCTTCTGCCTCCCTCGCTGCCTCCCTCCCTCCTGCCCTCCCTCCCTACCTTCCCCCCTCTCTCTTTCTCTCCCTCTCTTTCTCGCTCTCTGTCTCACTGTGTCTCTCTCTCTCCCTCCCTGCGTCTCTATCTCACCTAATGCTCGCTCGCTCGCCCGCTGGCTCGCACTCTCTTGCCACCATGACGATGCTATCTATATCAACGTGTAATTGTCTGGCATGGCCGTGGGATGCTGCGGAAAAGACAGGCAACGGTCTAAGAGTCTAATGCCTCCGGGATTCATACTGCTTTTCCATAGGAGATCGCTTTGTCCAAGTTGCTCCGCTGTCTGTGCTGACCCAGTAGGAATTGAATCCTGCACCAGCGATCACGGAGCCATCAGCCGCCATCGCAAACTTCCTGCCGACTCACCGGATCGGTGAACAAGCAGTCTTGCGACTAGCCGGGCTTAAGGTTTGGGCTTAGGCTTTAGGGTTTAGGGTAAACCCTAGACCCTGACAAGTTCTTGTACGAAAAGAAACGCATGAACAACAAAAGGTTCCGCCCTGGACATGTCTAACCGGAGCCCGTCCGCACGGCTCCACACAAACTAAACATGCACATCCCCGCAAACACATCCACACCAAAAAGTATCAACATCACATGTCGGACAGCCTTCAACACACACACACACACACACATCCATCCATCCATCCATCCATCCATCCATCCATCCATCCTGAGGGAGACAATTTTGCCAGCAAGTCGCTTCCAAGTTGGCTGCTGGCCGGTGAAAAACGTGTCTTCCACCCACGTAGCACCTGTGGTTGCAGCCAGCGAGAGGAGCAGAATCGGATACATCTTGCACTTTAGAAGTGCGGGGATTGCCAAATGTGCGTTTGGTGCTACCTCTGTGTCACGTCTTTGAGCCGAATTTTTTGCAAAGGACATTGACAGTCATCGTCTCTGCGGGAGAAGAGAAGCTTTGTCTGTCGCCGGCATGGCCAGACTAGAACAACATGTCTGGACATACTGAAACTGCCGGACCGCGAAAGGGCAAACTTCTTCTGCTGGCCTCCTCGAAGACACCAAATGCAATGGCAATCTGATGGATTGAGAATGTAGCTGTAGCTACTGAAACTGAGTGCTCCACTCTGGCACAATGTCAATACCTCAGACACAACAGGTTCGAGTTTCGGCAACCGTTGCACAAGCGTCGTGTGAGAGACGCCTAGACACGATGCAGAACAACACACCTGTTGAAAAGGCTTCGCACTCATGGACTTCTTCGGTTCTATGCCGCGGATGGTGCAAGGATGCGCGAGGATTGATTTCCTGGTTTTCCGGATCCAACGGCCTGGGTGCCAGCCTACCCGGACGAAAGTAAACAGGGTGCAACAGGGGGTCGTCCCCGCCTTCGGCCTTCGACGAAGTCAGGTCCACAAGTCGGGCACCTGGCTTCAGCTTCACTACACGAATGCTTCGCGAGAGCGCGAGCTACAATGCAGAACTGATCGCACAGCGGCGACCTTGGCTTCAACCATTCGTCACACTCATAGCTGAGATACCACTACTTGGCACTTTGGATTTCTAGACTCATTGCCTTTGACTCTAGCTCTGCTATCCTAGGACATCACTGACAGTCAAGCCCTCACATTTCGACCACGAGTAGAATCAGTGGATGGCCAGCTGCGCCCCTTTTGATCCCGTCCCGGCTCGATTTAGCCGTGTTCTGAGCTCACAGAAGATCAGGAAGACGTCTCCGAAAGCTTCTGGGCCTGCAACCAGGGGCGTCACCAAAGCCGGGCATTTCCATCAAATATTCAGAACGTGTAAACTGAAAGTGTACGTATGCCGGTGCACATCTATCACTGAATAGATACATATTATGTATTCAATTCTGTACATGCGCACCTGTACAAAAACAGAGGAATCAACACATAAACCCTTCAATTAAATTGAAAAAGTATTGCATGCTGACCCTCACACCCCCACCACCGCCACCGCCACCGCCGCCACCACCAACACCGCCACCGCCGCCACCGCCGCCACCGCCAACGACGCGCTGCCGCCGCAACCGCCACCACCACCGCCGCAGACACCACCCCAAACATGACTCAGGATCCTTATTTGACCCCCCCGATCCACCACGATGTATGAAACACTGCAATGCTCAAACAAGTCCAGCATGTGCATACATATGTATGTAGGAGCACACAACACATGTACATGTATACGGTAACAATGAGTGTGTCATGGGGTTGGGGTAGGTCATGTATACATGTATAAGTGTATATATATATATATATATATATATATATAAATATGTGTGTGTGTGCGTACGGACACATCAATGATACTTAGTTCCTCGGCATGCGAGACAGCTGTTTGAACTCTGACTCATGCCTCCACTCACAAGAAGCATCGCTTGTGTCAGAGGCTGCAGAAGGCAGAAAATGCATCCGTGCGACTATCATGGTTTCGTCTTGCTACTCAAACTTGTCCGCTTCTCAAGGACAAGTACTTGGAAGAGGTGACGGTGGCCAACGTCTACACAAAGCGCATGCCACTCGAATGCCTTGACAGCAACGCGCATCTTGCGGCTGCTGACGCTGGCTGAGGCTCCCTTTGCATCCTGCAAGTCAGTGCGGCAGAGCTGGTTGCAAAGGGTGAAAGCCGTACAGGACCTTGTACCTGCGGCTACACATGAAATGGAAGCTCGAAGAACCGGAGCTGGAGCTCAAGGCTTTTATATCGCTGCTGTGCCTGCCAGCTTGGTCAGTAATGACTTCGGTGCTTTTTGAGGTGCTGGCGGACTTGTACATATCATGTATGGCAAACCACTCAACTACTTTCTGCACGCCTGATAGCCTGGAATGGAGAAGATGGGTCAGGTGCTGTCTCTCGTTGAACCTGCCTCTCCCAGTAACTCCAACGAAATCCAACATGAGAGTTGCGTTTCACATTACATCATAGTACGTTCTGCAATGAAAAATCCTCTACCTGAGTATCATATTGTATTCTAGTCCAAACAAGTCTGCCCTACCTGGATATATGTTCTAGTACATCATACAGTTGATGATCTAAACCCTGCATTACCCATGATAGGGCACATACCATGATTCCCATACTCTCGGATCATGAAGGTAATGCAACACATTGGTAGTAGTAGTAGTAGTAGTAGTAGTAGTAGTAGTAGTAGTAGTAGTGACGTATATCATCAACCATCGTTTCTTAGTGGTCCAGGGCGAGATTAGACTCTCGGGCCCAGGCCACAGGAGCAGGCAGCTGCAAATCCAGCACGACCTGTTGAGCACCAGTGTATACCAACAACGATGATACTACAACAACAACTACTACTACTACTACTACTACTACTACGACTACTACGACTATTACTACTACTACTACCACTACCACTACCACTACCACTACTACTACTACTACTACTACTACTACTACTACTACTACTACTACTACTACTACTACTACTACTACTATTACTACTACTACCACCAATGCAACACAATACTGCTGCTGCTACTACTACTACTACTACTATTACTACTACTACCACCAATGCAACACAATACTGCTGCTGCTACTACTACTACTACTACTACTACTACTACTACTACTACTACTAGTACTAGTGATAATGACGAAAGCAATTATATTAATAATCGGACTGGACATCTGAATGGCTTGTCGGGCCCAGACAAGACATACCTGCAATTAAGAGGCAACGAACTCAAGACGTTGCAGCAGCAGCTGGATGCACGTGAAAATACGACTCTCGACACCCCGACTCTCACAAGACTTTGGCAAACTGGGCGAATGGCGGCGCTGGCGTGCAGCACTCGCCTGAGTTTCATGTCTTCTTCCGCACAGCTCTTACAAGCGTTTTCGGAAGACTATACTTTAGGGGCCTTTATAATTATAGAACAGGGTTTTGCGTTGTATTATACTTTCATCAAAATCATGAACCACCCAAATAGTATAGCTAGTTATTCATATTAGCGTTTTCTATATATAGTTGCCCCGAAAGGCCGCCGATCTCCCCGTTCTTGTCATCGAAGATCGAGGCTCTTCGAGGCGACTCGACAGGGACTGTCCCAAAAGTACGGGCCGCTTTAAGGGTTCCTTAAAGGGATCCTTAAAGGGATCTATAAGGGTTCCCATAAGGGATTGTCTGTAGAGTTTAGGGTTTAGGAGTGGCACAATGCAAACTCGACAAGGGATCCAAGAAATGACCATGATCTAAAGCAGCTACTATCCATCCGACCGTTTTGTTTAAGATCATGCAGATACAAATCGTCACAGGGTCTACGGCATTGTAAGTCTTGGACGTTGAATTCCGCTGGTTGTCAGGTGTTGCGGTATAACCGGTATAAACCAAAGCATCTTTGTAGGCTTAGGACTTAAGTCTCAGTATTGAACCCAAAGTCTGTCTCAAAGCAGACGAGGTACCAAGACTTAAGCGGCTCAGGTGCTCCATAGAGCAAAACTGGCATAAGGACATCTATGGAACAATATAATGTTTCTTGAGGCCACTATCTTCAACCACGAATCCTGCGCCAAGGCCCTGTCAGCTGCTTCTCGGCAAGTTCAAAGCTCACGGCCTCCTTGAATGCCGAGTAGCCAGTAACCTCCCGGGCCAGCTGGACTGAACATAGTGTAACATAGAAGCCTGAATGATTACAGTACCAATATACTCCTTCCGGTTATCATGTAGCCCCCCACAAAAACACCCTATTTCCAAACTTTCAGGCCCGTATACAGCAGCAACTAAACGAACAAAGCACCGTACAACTGCATGACAACTCTGCCTTGAATACTAAAGGGACCTGAAATAACATTCATAAGATGGATGAGTTATAGCTATAATGTAGTTATACTGACTATACAGCTCTTGAAGACATGAGCTGAAGAACGAGGCCAAACCGAGATCCCTAAGACTGCAGCAACTGAAACCCATGGCAGGCATAACTACCCAAGAGAATACTCGCAAACACCAAGGAGTAGCAAAGAGCCAGCTATACCTATGGTAAACCTCAATCATAACTATGTATTCTAATTAACCAATGTATTCATGTCCCATTCATTTGGGTACTGTTCCCACCCTATAACAGCCTACATTAGGGGCATATGAAGGGCTACATTACACCAGTAAACTTCTATAACTGTCACAGAGTGGGGGTGGGGTAGTACCCAACCTATACTTAGAGGATCATGGGACGTAGTAATTAAGGCTAAGGAGGTAAAACTATAGTTGCCTTACTTGTAACCCTACTTACTAAGTCCCGTGATTCTCTAAGTAGACTCTAAACCCTATAGTTCCCTTTTAAGGAACCCTATAGATCCCTTCAAGGACCTCCTACTTAAGTACAGTAGTTTTTATGCGGGGCCCCACCCCGCAGAGCCGAAACCAAAGCTCGTCGCTGAAGGTCACGTTCACGGCGAGGCTCGCCTGGCTTTTCCGATAGTATCAAATCCGTCTGACCTATAAGAAGACCTATACCTAGTTCCATATATCTACACATTATCTATCTATCTATATATATATATATATATATGTATATATTCATATAATTTCATATATAGATATTATAGATATAGAAAAATGTTCTCTGATTCTGTCCATCGAAGCATATCCGAGACTGTTTAACGGGCCGATCAATGCGAGATTTCAGCACAAGGCTTAGCCGGAACGCAAAGCAGCTATCTATCACTGCCGAACGTGACTTTCTGCCAGATGGAGCATGGCGTGGCACTGCGCAAGGAACTACAGTGTGACTGAGCAGACTTGCCCGTCTGCGAGTGTTTGCAGAAGACTCGGGACCCAAGCTTAGGGTTTAGGCTGATAGGGTTTAGGGTTAAGTGCTTCCGTCCTCGTCCTGGATCAGCTCCCAGTCAAGTCCATCCAAGCACTTCAGCACTGTGCCACCTCAAAGCATACATAAGATAGAAGCCTGCATAATCACAAACTATCCGTTCGGGATCCTATTAGGAGGATCGTGTATCATGCCCCAAAGCCCTCTCCAATAGTTAAGGCATATGACCAAAACCCCGTGCTGCAAGATATTGGCACCGAATCTGCCCGGTGAAAGCTCCGCCGCTACTATAGAGGCCTTATAACAACTAAGAGTATGGTTTTGGGGAACATTCTCGAGCAGGTATAATGAAGAACCTTGCTGTAAGGAATAATACTACTCAACTTCTATCTTGCGCTGGCTTGCTCTGAAATGCGTGGGAAGCGATAATGTCAATCAGGTTGCAGCAGAACTGTGCCATGCCCTGGCTCAAGCTTTGTGAGGTACGTACTTTTATGACGGCTGCGGGAGCAAGGCACCTTGTACTCATCAGCCAGGATTGCTTTGAACGGCTTTCATCTTGAATAGTTTTCTGTTTGCTACAACTAAAGATGTCGGCAAGTTTACTAAGAGAGGCCAAGCCAAAGGTACTCAAAATTCAAGACAACGGTCAGAACCGAAACGCCTCTCTGACTGAAGGAGCGAAGTGAATGGGGTGCGGGAATGTTGCTCCACCTTGCAGTGTCGATAGAATCGAGGTTCGCGTTACAGGATGTCCGTAAACAATCTTGTCCTTTTAGGGGGACAGTACCCGTGTTAAACTACACGTTCCCAAAGCTCGGCCCCCCGCCGTCTTTGCGAAGCCCAGTCTCCTGGTGGCACGAGTCTGCTAAGCGATGCATCTTAGAATCTGGATCTGGTGGAAGGCGATACAAAGAGTACTTGCACCTGGGCCTTGGCGGGTGTGCGCGAGAAAGCTACGTCTCTTGTAAATATACCAAACCTGATTCCCTCGTAACCTTGAACGGGGTTCGTAGAGATACAGGGAAGCCAACTGATGAGCCTTGCCAACTGAGGCTGTGATGCACCCTGTCCTGAGGCCAGTACCGCAAATATGCGCAAATCAAAGGTCTTCAAACCACTTCTTGCCCCAAATCCCACATCTGAAACTCAATCTAAACCCTAAACCCCAATCCCAGCTTTGATCAAATCACCATCTCCTCGGAAGGCGTCTTGTCAGCCTCTGCCTCCTCTCCGCCTGCAATCACGAAGACGAAATGAAGGAGATGACCACTGCTACGACTATGTTCCCTGTGACGATATGCTAATAAAACACTCAAAGATCAAACGGAAAAGCTCAAGAGGAGCATTGGCAGCTCAGTGCAGATGTATGCTGCTCTGTGCCCTACAACCTAAATTCCCTAAATCCTGGTGGCTCGTTTTCAACTTTGTGGTTCTTATCGCTCCCACGGCTCCCGGGGCCTTTGCTCGGAGGCTTTGCTTTCGTGCTGAACCAATCCTGCACCGAGGAGGCCAAAGGGTTCAGGGTTTAGGGTTTACAGGGGCTTGGGGCCAGGAGTCGTATCGTAGACTCACAAATCCTCAAAACACTCCTTAGGACAAGACACGCGCCGTACTTCTACAATCGGAAACCAGCAGTGTTCAAGTCTACAACGAATGGGTAGAAATGCATATGGGTGGTTGTCAAAATTAAGGTCCCATTTTGGGTCCTCAGTATAAAACGGCACCCAAAAAACGCCCATAGTTTTGACAACCACCCATTCTTGTGTGATATGTCACGTTGCATGCATTGCACAAGCAGCACTTTCGCGGCTACGTTTCGGAACATGGTACATCGCACCCTATTCACCTGGAGGTACCATCTAAACCTGCAAAGAGAGCCGGCTTAGCGGCTTCCATCTCTGAGCTCTGGCCTCGGATTTCGGCATGTATTGAGTGCTGGAGTAGACGCACAGAGAGAGAGAGAGAGAGAGAGAGAGAGAGAGAGACAGAGAGAGAGAGAGAGAGAGGGAGAGAGAGAGAGAGAGAGACAGAGAGAGACGGAGAGAGACAAAGAGACAGAGAGCGAGGGAGGGAGCGAGGGAGGGAGAGAGAGCGAGAGCGAGAGTCTCCAGCGGCGAAACAAAAACAGTGGGACTTCCAATAGCCCTCTGCTATAACCACCCCGGGTCTGCTCCTCCGCGGCGGCAGCTCGAATAGCTGCGTCGTTGAGCATGGTCTTCGGCCTCCGTGATTCTGAGGGGTTTCGGCCCAGGACATGGGTTCTGAATCGGGAATATAAGCTCTTTGAAGAAAAGTCTTAGTTTCTAAATCCTACAATCACTGGTGAAATTTCCCTTTGACCCCTAAACCGTCAGAACAAACACACGCTGTGGCCACGGCTTGTCGAAGACACTGAGAGGGTAGCCAGCCTCTTTGGCCACCTCTTGACAGAAAGGATCCAGGTTAATGTTCATATCCTTCCGAACGAACTCGAATTGGTATTCAAAAAACTACAACAAGCACTTTCACTTGAACCTCCCAAACAATTGTATCTACGTATGTCGGTGCGGTGCAGCAGTCCATGTGAACAAACACAGCGATGCTGTCAACCTGCTGAAAGAGGCGCTGTCCCACGATTCGCCGTGCAGAATCATCTCAGCAAGTGTGCTTCGAAAATACCTCTTACATCCCGTGCTTGCCCCTCGTTTTCCGTTTTGACAACCATTGAAGAAACAGTGGCGATAAACAGTGGTGATGCTTTTACAGTCCGTGTCGCCAACCGCCTCAGCATGAAAAACCAGGTGAAGACGCGACGACCTGCAGGACCCGAGCCCTGAAAACAGCTTGCGCACCTTGGCCTTCGTCTCTTCATCCACATCGCCCACATACTCTGCCATTCCCCTGAGATCCCACCGTTCGTTGCTGTTGCTGCTGGTGGTGGTGGTGGTGGTACTGCTGGTGGCGGCAGTGCTGGTGCTGGTGATCGGTTTTGCAAGTTGAGATTTGCAGGTCCGGCTTCCGGGGCTTTGCGTCCGGATACAGTAGAGCTACTATTCCCCTCCAGAAAAAGTCGTGCTCACATGGTAATACGTAGTATGATATATTTGGCCAACACCCTGCGCGCTTTTTCCGTCTCCTGCTCAGGGCTGGCAACTTCTCGGCAGGTCGAGGTGCCGACCTTGCCAGTACGAAATTGCAGAAGCCCTTCGGTGTACGCTTCAGGGTGATTTTGAGAAGAGCGACTCTTGGCATGCCAGCAGCTGAGAGAGTTCTACCTGTTCTATCTGGAATCATTATGCTTGCTGTGTCACTGTTTCAGTGCATCCCCCACAGTACATATTCAGGGGCGCATGTGCCTTTGGCAGTTCAGATGTTGGCTGAGCACACTTGTGCAATCCGTGTGTCGCTCGCCTGCCAAGAGCTGCGCAGGCTGCTTCCAGCTGCTCCGTTCTTCTATCTGGTGCTTAGTAGGGAATGGGGGAATGGATCCCTGTAGTAGTCCCGATAATATGGAGATAATAGTCTCCATAATCCATTCCCCGGTTCCCTGCCAAGAACCAGACTGTCTTCTCCCAAGGTACAAAGTTGCTTGGTTGCTACTACGGTTCTCCTCGATGATGAAGATCATGGTGATGATAATTCTGGTTCTGGAGCTGCTGATGACTATGACTATGGTACCTGAAAATGACGATTTACATCGTGACTACTTTTCTACTCATCAAGCAACACCTCTTCGACTTGAAGGTCCGAGTCACAGAGTTTCGACCCTCCGCCTGCCGATGTCTCCTGGGACTTCGGCAGATGAAGAGCATCGGTGCTATTGCACTATATATCGGGGCCTTAATAAAGGGGCCTTAATAATTCGAACAGGGTTCCTTTAAAGGGCTCATTAAGGATCTATAAGGGATGTATAGCATCTTGTCAACAAGATGGCAGATAGTAGTGAAAGGGCGGAGGGATGAGACTCGAAAGAACTCAAGCGGGTCCTGCCACCACCGCATCAGAGCCTTTGCAGACATCAGCGGCGACAGGTCGATGTACCAGAAGCTGATGAAGGGCGAAGTTCTGTTGCCTCGAGGCGCACCAGTGCATGCTTGCGCCGGCGACCACATCTAAGCAGATGTTGCGAATGTGCCTCCTTCTCCGGCATGCTGTGACTGGACCTTCGACCGTGTGCGCAAGCCTTTCGGCGTCCAGTAGAAGTATCGCTTGCCTCAGATGTACTGGAGGGCGGCTAGAGGTGCCGTAGATACCACAGAGTAGCAGAGTAGCACAGGGCACAGTGCTTCAGGGAACTAAACGCAATAAGCTCCACGATCGCCAGGTTGCGGGGACACAGATACAGCCTTGGCTCAGCCGCAACAGCAAGCTGCACCTTCCTCTTTGCTTGCAGTGCCTACAGAAGCCCAAGACTCGATCTGCTCCTACAGCTCTCACAGTCAGCACAAAAGGCAAACACAAAGGTCTTCTGAAACACTCGATAGCCGTAGTAGCACGGACTTGGAAGTGCCGCCCAAGGCATCGTCATAGAAGTCCTTGGAGCCTGCAAGCATCGAGCATTCGGAACACAACACCAAGATATGGGTCACTCGAAGTGCTGACATATGCTCATGCTGCACAAGCGAAGGGAAGCCCTTGACATAAGGATGGCTATGCGGCTTTCCATGTTTCGACCTTCTATCATGCTTCGACCTTCCACATCGGCAGCACAAGCAAGAACTAAAAGCTGCGCTTTTTTTGCTCAAGGCACAGAAATAGTTGGGCATCAGCAAGAGGAACGGCTTTGCGTTGGAACCTTGAGGTGACAAGTGCAAGATCCCAGCTCGATCACGAAATCAACTGCAGTGAGGGATGAGTAATGTTGCCTGGAAGCTTCTGTGTTTCCTGATGGAATCTTGGACGAAAGACCATGCATTCTGAACCCGCTGCACTCCTTCTGTAACCTTCTCCTGCAGATACCTGTGAAGTGGCCAACCAGGTAGCGACAGAATCGAAGAAGATACTCCACATGTTCGCCGCTGTAAGGAGGATTCGTCAACAGGACGTCGTGCTTGGGGACCTGGGCGCAACAAAAGGACTTGACTAAACGCCTCGTGACTCACACGTGCCTGCACGATCGAAGCGACAGTTGCTACAAGGCTTTGCTGGCTCTGAACCGCCGCGATCCTACCGAGCTGACTTTGCTACTGGTCTGTGCAGGACTGACACGACATAAAATGTGCACTAGTATTCATGCTTTTCCCAGACAGGCCACGAAAGAGAGGTAAATGAACCGTGTAGACCGCTTCCACGAAATAGTAAGCTCGACGTTAGCTGATATCATCACTGGCATTGGCGTCGGACAGCCGAAGCTGCCCAACACTAACGGCCAAACAGCCACGAGCACACAAACACAAGCAGTAGCGGCAGCACAACAACAACAAACAACAACAACGACACCAACACCAACACCAAAACCAACACCAACACCAACACGACCACCGCCACCACCGCCACCACCGCCACCACCGCCACCACCGCCACCACCGCCACCAACACCACCAACACCACCAACACCACCAACACCACCAACACCCACAACAACAACAACAACAATAACAACAGCAACAAACAATAACAACAGCAACAACAAGAATCACCACTATTACCACCACACCGCCACCACCACCACCACCACCACCGCACCACCGCACCACCACCACCACCACCACCACCACCACCACCACCACCACCACCACCACCACCACCACCCACCACCACCACCACCACCACCACCACCACCACCACCACCACCACCACCACCACCACCACCACCACCACCACCCACCACCACCACCACCACCACCACCACCACCCCACCACCACCACCACCACCACCACCACCCACCACCACCACCACCACCACCACCACCACCACCACCACCACCACCACCACCACCACCACCACCACCACCACCACCACCACCACCACCACCACCACCACCACCACCACCACCACCACCACCACCACCACCACCACCACCACCACCACCACCACCACCACCACCACCACCACCACCACCACCACCACCACCACCACCACCACCACCACCACCACCACCACCACCACCACCACCACCACCACCACCACCACCACCACCACCACCACCACCACCACCACCACCACCACACCACCGCAGCAGCAGCAGCAGCAGCAGCAACAGCAGCAACAGCAACAGCAACAGCAACAGCAGCAGCAACGACACCAACAACACCAGCACAAGCACAAGCACCCACAACACCACTAACAACAAACAGCAACACCAACACCAACCGCCACGCCAACAACAACACCAGCGCCAAGAGCCACACCATCGCTCAGCTCCTGACACGCCCCTCTTCATTCACTGCATAGAAGTCCTGACACGGACAGGACTCCCGGTTTGCTTGGTGGTTGCAGAGCTCATAAGCTGTGGGGGTTCAGCCGCCTGACAGAAAACTTGGCCACAAAGAGGTCAATGCAAAGACACCTACCACATAATGCCAAAGATGAGCATTCGTCGCGGGTCCTCACATTTGTTGTAAACATGGTGGAAGCCCAGCTCCCCCAGATGCTTCACCACTGCACCGGCGCAGTAGAATGGATCGTAGATGCGCAGCTTGCTGGGAGCTTTGCCTGCAGCTACACCAGGTCCTACATACTCTATGCCTACGAGTATACCGCACCGAGTTCCGGCAAACTACTCTCAGATCTACAAAGCAGTATACGTGGCAGCTCCAGGAATGAAAGCGGAAAGGTGGCTCTTAGAGGCGCATCCAAGAGGCCCAGCAGCGAAGCCTCGAGTCGGAAACAAGAGCATAAACGATCCATAAACCCTTGGTCGTTCCTTATTCGAGGGAATTGGATTCCGGCTTCTTGGGTTTTTTGGGGCCCGAAAAGCGCAGCCTCTCCGGCCAAACTGATGAAGCTTGAGATGCAGTTAAACGGCTATTGTCGTTGCTGTAAGAGTAGTAACTATGCGTTTGCCTTCCAGTACATATGGCAGTTGCGAGGGCAGTCGAAGCAAGCCTCTTGAGCGGAGACTCCGGAAATCGCCAACAAAGAGCAGCTTTACCAAGTACCGGCTTCAAGTCCCCAAGCCACATGCTGGCTGCAGCCCCCAAATCCCGTTGCCAGCCACATCTGAGTGAAAGAGTGACGCGCAATTTGCACTCGGCCTTTTTTGTGACACTAGTGATCGTGCCCAATCTTATGCGCAACAGCGGAAGACCAGCCATGACTTCCTCTCTTGACATCTCCAGAAGCGCGCGCAGGCGCATTTGATGAGGCTTTCAAGTTGCCCTGCTGTGGCTTTGAGGGAGGATGCGCAGGCCTTGGATTGAGTGCCAATGAGGCTTTGGTGTTGGAAGTTACGGGATGAGCGAGCTTTGGGAGAACCTGCGGGCAGCCCAGAAATGTCTGCAAAGGCCACGCCTGTGATAGCCGTGACGGCCAGGGTTCTGCCCACAGCTTGTCGCAGGGACCTACCATTTTCGAAAATCATCGCCCCACTCAGCGTCGTGCTTCGCGGCAGCAGCCTGCGCAGCAGCTTTGTCGCGTTTGCAGCTGCCTTTAAGATATGCGGGACGGGCCCGAACATCAAGTAAAACCAATGAACCGCATCGCGCCGAACATGCACCTGCCACAACTCCTTATAACTACCGAAGGAGCAAAAACGGGCGTTGCGGATTGTCGCAGCATGCGGAGCAGAGCAGGCAGCCAATGAAGGCAGACTCCAGACGCCTTGACACTGCGGCCCTAGACAAAGCTGCGCGCTACCTCTCCCTGGAGTTAAAGAGCACCTTCACGTAGGCGTTGTAGACCAGTCCCACAGCGTTGGGGCTCTGCGTCTGCTGGCCTATCGTTGCCAACAATACTATCC